ACTGCGTTGGTCCTGAGCACCTTTAAGCTGATGGAGTGTGTACCTGAGCCCCCTAACCTGATGGAGTGTGTACCTGAACACCCCTAACCTGATGGAGTGTGTACCTGAGCCCCCTAACCTGATGGAGTGTGTACCTCTATAAGTTAGCAGACTGTGTACAGCCAGTTACTAAAGGGCCTGACTTAACAGCTTTGCAAAACTGTGGGTAACCTTGGAAGGAGGTTTATTGCAGAAAGACTGGCCAGTAGATTTTTTTTTAATAGTATATTCTAATCAAGACAGGAAGGAATTCACCTCAGCAGTGCCCCATCAGAATTCTGGGAGCTTTAAAGTAATGCCGTGATGGGGGGAAATGGCCTTAAATTCCAGATAAAAAGAAACGGGAGATTTTCCAGTTTGCTCAGTTTTCCCTCTATACTATACTCTGACTGCAAGCGCCTAAATTTCAGTATTTGCATTTTCCTTCTCACCTGTTCAGTAGAGAACTTTGGTTTCTAGAGAGAAAGGAATTCTATATATATTTTTTCTGGATAAAATCACCCCAATATCGCCAATACACATCCCCCCTCAAAAGCCTTTTCTCTGCATTTAATCTATCTCAGAAAATCCAGTGGTCTACCTGCGTGTGTAGAAGGTTGCTAAATTGGGTTATTAAATTATTTCTGTTAAGTAAAAACTTAACATACAGCAGCTGCTGAGAGATTGTAAAAGCTTTGTTTTTTCAATAATTGGAAACCTTGTTTACAGAGGACTCACAATATTCTTTAAATGTCTTTGTGTTGAATATAAAAGAACTTGTGTTTATCTAGGCAATGATAATCTGACTACAAAGCAAACTCATTTAAGGATTATGTTTCCTGTCTCTCACTGTGCAGCTGTCACCCTACTGTTCCTTTCAAGCTTTGCAAAATGCTGGGAATTCTTCCTTAAAATTAGAAGAATAAACTGGAAAATCAACCAGGTAGTTTGGAATACATCTAATTCTAAATTACAGAGAAGTAGTTGAGAGACCCAAAATATCACTGCATCTGGGCACATTTATCCCAAGTTCTCATTGGTTAACTCATTGACAGAATTCTATTCATGCCAAAGAGATTTTAAGGTATTCAATAATGGCAAAGAAAATTTGAGGACAATTCAGATAATCTATTTAACCAAAGTGTAGAATTGTGTGATAGGCATTCACATTGGTGCCTGCTCTAAAGAAGCTGGGAAATGCAGTAATTAAAGGAATATGTACAGAGCCTGAAGCCAATTACTAGCTCTGTGACCTCAAGCCAATTATTTAGTGGCTCTCTGCAAAATAATAGCACTCACTTACCTCACAGGGTTGTTTGGAGGCTTAAATGAGATAAACATGTGGAATCCTAAGGACTGTTCCAGCCCAGAGTAGCCACTCAATAAATGTTAACCTATAATATTACCACAGTGTTCCGAGCCTCACCGTTTTTATATGCATTATCTCATCTAATTTTTCAAACAGCCTCATTAAAATAATACATTTTATAACTCCAGTTTTACTGAAAAATTGGGGAAGATGAAATGCAAAGAAGTTTAATAACCTACGCAGGGTCACACAGCAATTGAATTGACAGCGGGGCTCTGCATTCACAGTTTTTGCCTCATGCTGCAGACACTTAATGAGCGCAGGCACCCTTTGCTCTCCAAACACTGCCTATCCCAATATTTGTTATAATAACTTACAAAAAGTTGGAGCTCAGATCATTCTCCCAGTTAAAAAGGCCACTATCACAAGTTCTCACGTGCGTGGCAGCTTCTCTGCCTTCAGTGTGAATATGAGCACTGATTCTGCACTTCTGACAAGCTTCAGGACACGCCAGTACTGCTGGTCCCTCATCACCCTTTGAGTAGCAGGGCCGCTCGAAGCTGCAAGGGGGCTTCCTCAGATGTCAGTGTTCTCCAGTCAGCCTTGTGTAGAAGCCTACTGCACATTGTATCCACGTTTCTCCCCACTTTTTCCCTGAGGGGCTAGCTCTTCAGTGTTTCTTTAGGTCAAGTACCTGGTGGCACTACCAACTCAGATCCAATTTACAGAGTATATCTTTCAAATCTTGGGCCATGTCATTTCATTGTTTATTTTTGTTGCAGTACATGCTCAGTGAAGAAGGATAATGAAATTCCTGTTCAGTTCAGCAGGAGACTACACACAAACACACCTATTAATTACCCCACCGAGTGTCAGACAATCACGTACTTGGTATTTAAATATTTCACATTATGTATAAATTCTTATCAGATTGTTAAATCGTTACCTAAAAGCATTTTAATAATACTTGGGAAATTGATATTTTTGACTGTGCTTTTGTCTGGATCTCAGGATCCAGTAGAATCCACCTTGAAAAAAAAATGTGGATGTTCTGTGATTTTTCTAGGGTCGTTTAACTTAAATTAAGCTCTTGACTGGTTAAAAGCTTAGTGAAGTGTGGAGAGAGAGACTGTGTTTGGACTCCTGTGAGCAAAAAGCTTAGGAAAACGAAGGGGTTATTGTTTGTTTGGTTTTTATCCCAGCCATTATTTCTCCTTCTAACATTAACAAGGACAGCTATATTTTCTTTAAGAGCTACAGAGACAACAAAGGGAAGAGAGATTGATCAGATTACTATCAAAACAGCCCCAGACCCAGGGAGCAATGATCAAATAGAAGACCACAGCCTCTGTCTTCCGTCTCTTACGTCTACCTTTCGTCTCCCCCTGCGTAGGGTTGCCAGATTTAGACAAAAAGAAATAAAAACAGGATGCTTAGTTAAATTTGAATTTCAAATAAAGAATCATATTTTAGTATACATCTCATGCAATATCTGGGACGTATTCCATGGCCATATTCCCTATGTAGTCTGCCCCATACAATTCATTGCTCTTGTTTTATTTTCTTGTGGTTTTCATATACAGATTTGACCCTCATTTAGACCCAACTGCCCCCTAGACAGGATCTTACTGGGTATCCCTCAAGGCATCATAAATATTGACTTTCCTATCTGGGGGGGTGGTGTTTTCTCCTGCTGCAAGTGCAGGACACCACTGAGCTCCTTACACCTTTCCTCTCACACCTGTGAGGTCATTACTTCGTGAACAATGACAGGGCTTAGCACAGAGCCCTGAACCTAGTAAGTGTGCCATACTATCTTTATGATTGATTGATGAACTGAAAGCAATTTGTTCTCTTAGGAGTCAACTAAATCCAATACCCATTAACTAGTTACCTGAATGCTAGGAGTTAGTAGTAGGCTCTGTCTACCATGCTGTCCATTTAAAAAGTTAGGTGAATTACTCTTCCCTTTTGGGGAGATAAGAGGATAGAGGAAGGCAATGGGGTTGGAAGCTACCCCCAGATTTGCCAACGTATGTTATGGCTTAGCCCAAAAGGTAGAAATAAAATTGTCCTTCTATATAGGGAGTCATTTCAAAATTTGGAATACTGACTTTTTCAAAGAATGAAGTGATATCTTGCCCATTATATACTATCTATTTCCATTAGCTTTTCTAGTACTAAATTTCTTCTATGGCGTGTTGGTGTTGCATTCACTTAACGACAGTATCATAAAAGTAAGAAAGAACTTTGAAAGCCAACAGAATGATATAAATGACAAAATGTTCAACTCATATTAAGAAGCTTTCCAGCGTGTAGAGTAATGGTACACATCAGATAACAAGGTGCCTCTTTGTACACTTTGTGCTTCTATTAATGACATTTTTTAGAGCTTCCTTTGTAAATGATACTACTGAGCAGGCTTCAAACCTTGAAGATTAAGAGTTATGAATGCCTCTTTTGGTTCAGTGCTTTTCAAGTGTAAAATTCACAGGAGAGTGAGCCCATATTTAGAAGTGTCTAGATGATTAGTTTTCTGCCAGCCAGGCTTGTCCAATGCAGGCTTGTTCTCAATGTGGTCCAAGGGTTCCTGGCTACCCCTTCCAGAACCATTTCCTCTAGTCCCTGGGTCCCTACTGCCCACGCAGATCCCCACAACCTTTGGAGGGTGGAGGTAGGTCAGGAAACTGCCCAGTACCTTGAAACCCCCACCACTGTGCCCACCTGTGAGCCCTGCATTGAAAACTACCCATTTGACTGCAGACAGAAATGACTGTAAATAAAATGGCTGCAGGTTTGTATTCTACTCTAGTAAATAAACATCGATGTGCTGTCATACCATCAATGAAAATCCATAATTTAATGTGGCTTGACGATATTTTCAGTGTCCCCGGAGTTAGACCAGAAGAACAAAAGCTGGACGTGAGGATCCATGTTAATTTCTCATCCACTCAACATCAAGAACATAAGAAAACAAAGTTCTTATGAAAGTAGATTATTGTATATATGTGATAAAAATCCGATGTGATCACCCCAGGGCAGAACTTGTGATTGAAAAATCTTTTCTGGAATGCTTGTGATTTTCAGTCCAGTCGTAAATCTTGTCCTCTATATCTTATGCCTCTGGTGTCAAGTAAATTTTAGCTCATTAGCCATTTGTCAAAAAAAATAAGAATGTTAGAATACTGATTCTATCTGGAAAGAGACCAAAGTAAAGTTATTATTTTTTTTAATCCAGGTGCAGTCCTTGTTTTTATTGTAAATATATAATGAAACAATTAGACAAAGATTGGAATAAATGCTTATGTTTTAGTCATGCTAAAAATACTCATTTTTTTTTCCTTTAGGATGAAGCCTTGTAACGCCTTTGTAAATTCCTTAATATTAAAATAAGCATCACTTTGTTTCCTTTGAAAATTATTTTATTGGGTGATTGGTATAGGGTCAGGAATGAGCCTAATGATGAGAGAAATATGGCATTTTTAGATCATTCCTACCCCAGGTTAGTGGAATGTGTTGGTGAATGCCGTAATTTCATGGATCTCTGATTTGGGGAATAAAAGCTGTAATACAATTACTACCAGGACTCTAGCTCTGTTTATTTGAGTAGTATTTTTATCTGTCTGAATTGAATTCAAATGCATTATTAATATTTTTCTTCTTTTTAATATAGGTGGAAAACAGACCAAAATATTATGGAAGAGAGTATGTATGATGCTGTTCTTTGTTTTAATAATATAATAAGTCGTCACTTCATATGTCATTTAAATGTAAATATTAAAAATTTTTGAATATAGAGTCTCCATCAATGTCCATTGTGCAAGAGTTTAATAATAACGATAAATGCAATCAGACCCCTTTGTATTGAGTTTCCTTTATAAGACTCAGGTGCTTGGCTCTGTTAATGTAGGAGGGAAGCTGCCTTCTGCTGCAGTTCTGGCCACAAAAGCAGCCACTGAGAGCCTGGCAACTATTTGAAACTTAAGGCAGCATTTTCCATAATTGAGGCTCTGTTAGTATTTTATTTCGCTTTCTGTCTCAGCACTGGGTAAACATGTAATGTGTCAGCGTTCGTAAACTGTAGCTGAGCTCCTTTTCATGTACCTCAGTAAATGCAATACCAAGGAACGTCATCCCACGTCTCTGCAATGTCAGAAAACCAAAATGGTCATTTCTCTTGACTTGGCTATATTAGCTAAATTGCCTTCCTTCTGTAATTATTATGTCCCTCCTCCCCATTGCCCTCTTACTTTTTACCCTTGGTTTGCTTTGCATTCTCAGAAACCTACAGCAAAGCAAACATGCATTGTTATTCACAGTCTTTACAATGGTGGCCTAGAGAAGAGCATACAGAGGGCAGGTAGGACACTCTGAATGGCCGCAGATATCAAATCACTTTTCTTCCCACGTCCAACCTGGAGGCGTTAGGAGGCAAAGTCTCTTTCAATTCCACCTCCCAAGGTCTCCCAGCCAATCCCAGACATTCCTCCTCTATTCCCTTACCCATCAGAGCCTCATCTTCATGATTAATGACCCTCTTATGTGTCCCAGCCCCCAGCCACTTCCTAATTGCCACGGCTGCATTTCTGAACCTTCCTTCCCGACCTTGGGAGCCCAGCCAGCGCCTCTGGGATACCTGTTTGTGAACACTAGCCTCCCCACTCCTCTATCCCCACGTCCCTAAAGTCTAACCTAGTTAGTGGCAGCCTTTTTTTTTTCTTCAATATGCTGATTTGGATTTTACTCACAGAGAGTATAATTTGATAAAACAAGAGAAAACGAAAACCTATCATACGCTTCTCAAATGGAACACTGTTGTACATGAATTCCCCAAAGGAACTCCATTTCTTGGGCAGTTTATTTTTTGCATGAAAGTTTTGTTGAGTAACCTTCTCCTTCTCATCCTCCAACCCCCAAACCACGTAAATTCCATAGTGAGAGGAGACCCAGTAAACACTTTCTTAACCACAGAAAAGGAACCTGCTGCATTAGAGGGAAGTTTGCTTCAAAACTTCAGATTCTGTGGGCCAGCCGAGTGGTGTGATGGTTAAGAACTGGCTTGGGATACCAGAGGGCCCCGGTTCGGATCCCACATATGAGGGCCAGTTACACTGCCCTCCAAAAAAAAACAAAAAAAAAAAACTTCAGATTCTGGGTTTTCCTTTCTTTTTTTCAAAGTGAAAGGTTTTTGTTCCATTCAAAGAGTAGTATACATGCTCTATTCAGGAAATATATAGGTATATTTTTTCCTGGGAGGAATCACAGGAAAATGTTGACAATGGATACCTTAAGGGAAAGAGAATTTTTACCTCTGTACTGTTTACTTTTTATTTCTTTTGTGTCTTTCACTTGTGCATTTTTCCCACTGTGCATAGGTATTATTTATGTTCTAAAAAGTTAATTAATACCTTGTAATTTGGGAAAATTAGGAAATGTAGGAGTATAGGAGGTGAAAAACGCGCCCCCCCCACACCCCCACTGTGAGAGAACATGGTTAACTTTTTCTTTCCATCTCTTCCTTCCAGTCTTGGGGCATGCTTTCTTTTTACAAAGTTGGGCTCATAAGATGTACACACCGTGGATATTTTAAAATCCATCCATAAAGGGGTGATGAGCCACAGACGGGGTCTTCAGATTCACAAAATTGTAATTCTCATTTTTTTTGAACAGTAGAATTTAATTTGGATCCTGACACTCTCCATCGGCTGCTGGCCATCACATAAACATGTCATTTCAAGGGAATTAAGATTTACTGCTTTCAGCTTAACTGCCTATTTGGGACATTCCTCCTCTCTCTCTCTCTCTCTCTCTCTCTCTCCCACGGGGCCGGTATTAGGTCTCTTTGTCCA